ACCAGGAGGGGGAGGAGGGCACAGACCTCCTCAGAATCTTTATTCAACATTAGAGGCTTGGGCCCCAAAGAGACCTTAAAGGGCCTCCGGTTCAGTCCCACCTAGGCTGCCTGTACCCTCAACTCCATCAGAGATAGTGGCCAGCCCTGTCCCTCCCTCAGTGTCACAGAGCTCAGCAAACCCAGGCAGCCCCTTCCACCTCTCAGCAGCTCTGACATTTAAGCCGCAAATCTGCTGCCTGATTTGCCCTCTGGGGCCACCAGGCAGGTCTGTTTATAAACGGCTTGGCACAGAGGAGACACTTATGAAATCTTAGGGTTTTTTTTTTTTTCCCTCTCCTCTTCCTTCCTCCTATTCTCTTCTTCAGATGAGAAGGCAGCTGCCAACCCCAGGTCTGCTTTTCTCTGCACCTCTGCTGTCCCCATAGGCCTGAACTGATTTCCCCCTCAGTCTGGCTATCCACTCTCTCTCCCCTCTGTGATCTCCTTTGTGTCATGACTTTGGACTGTGGTGTGGGGTTAAGGGCAGTGGCTTTGCATCAGACCTTGGTTGCCTCCAGATGGGCCTACCCCTGGACTAGTTGTGGGAACTTGGGCAGGTTACTTCATTTCTTGAACCTCAGTTTCCTCATCAAAAAAAAAAAAAAAATGGGTACAGTAGTGGAAGCTCCCTCAGAAGGTGGGGAGAAGTAAATGAGATCACGCACCGGCCCAGCACCCAGAAATGGCTGGTCAGCAAGCAGAAGAAAGGACCAGTGTGGGATAGATGGGCCAGCCCTCCCTCATTCCTGGCTGGCACTCTGAGGCTGTGTGACTTCTCTGAGCCTCAGTTTACCCTTCTGCCCTTCCCCCATTGTGGGGTGGCTGTGAGAGCCCTCCCTGCCTAATATGGGCATGGGTAGTTTTTCTTTGACCTTCTGTTTCATAACCTTATCTGTGTTCTTGGTTATTTCTACAGAAGTCAGGGAGTGCTTCTTGCTGGGTATGGTCCAGGTCATATCTTGCTTTCCCAGGCTGAGGCCCTGTGTGGAAGAGATGCCTGGGCCAGGATTGGCCGCTGTGGTGGGAGGGGATTCCAGGGGCCATCATGAGGTGTGGTTGTGGGGCGCCCACACATCCCATCCAGGGGTGGGGAGACCAGGCCTTCCCTCCTGATTACCAGAAAAAACTCTTGACCCCTTCCTGAGAACTCAGGCTAGGTTCCACTCTGGCCAGTGAACCTGGCCTTGCTGGAGACAAGGGCCGAGTTTAGCTTCCGAACACTGAGCTTGGGTTGGATACTGGAACTTTCACTTTTGATTCCCTTTTACTTTCTACATTCTGGGAGTGCAGTCATCTAGTTTTTAGCAGCCTTATATGTCCCTCTGCCAAGGAGCCTTCAGGGCCTACAGCAAACTGCACCCTAGCATGCAGGCTGCCCCAGAACTGGCTTCACCTTAGCTATCCACCTGCTCTCCTTATCCCTACCTCCTCCTCACAGCCTAGGTCCCTTCCACCTTGCCCTTTCTGAGCCCTTTGCCTTCTCACCGCATTCCAACTTATCTAGGAACACCTTATCCAGGGAGCCTTCCCTGATGCATCTGTGGCCACCATTGCCCCTGCCACTCAGTCTCATGCATCTCCCATGGTGTCCCACTAGACCCAACATGGCCTGCCTGGAACATGGGAGCTGGAAAGGACAAGCCTGTCATCCAGAGGAGGACCCTCTGTCACCTTGAGTGTGTGTACCCATACATGCCCATGCATGTATACATACACTTGTGCTGGATCACTCAGTCTCCTTAGAGAAGTCACTAATTCCTGGAAGTCTGGAGTCAGTCATTCATCTTGTCTCCTCTCAGCTCCACCCTGATGGAACCTTAGAAGGAATTTGAAGGCCATCTGACTGAGCCTTCCACTCAGTGCCTGAATCCCTCTAAGAGGGGCTCATCTGCTTGAACTCCCCCAGTGCTGGAGAGCTCACTATCTTGTGAGGTTGCCCTTTCAGTCTTTAAAAAGCTTTGAATGAATTGGAATTAAACAAAATAGTGTTATTTGTAATTACTATTAATAGACAAACCATTGCCATTTGAAATCTGAATAAGTACATCATTGTTATTTGATATTTTAGTTAATAAGTGCAAAAGTCCTTGTTAACAGAGATATTTGAATATTGGTATTTTGATTTGAAATATGAGCTAATAACTCCTTTTATTTGGAATCTGAAAAACAAAATCACCTTTGATTGCTACCAAAGCTATCTGTATTTAGAAATTTTAATTAAAATTTGAACTAATAAGTACCCCAGTGTTATTTGGTATTACAACTAATATGCATGCCAATATTTGTTATGCTCTTATTTGTATTTTTGAATTTTAGTTGGAAATTCAATTAACAAATCAAATTATATTAGCTGGAGTTATGAATTTGCATGTGTTTCAAATTGAATTTGAATCAGTAAATTCATCAATGTCATTAGAATTTGCCAGAAGGTACACTAGGGTCTTGTTCTATTTGGATTTTGGAAGTTGAATTGAAATTTGAGCTAAGAATTAAACCAGTTTTATCTGCATTTGAAACTAAATTGGATGTATATTTGTTATCAGTGCTATTTCGATTTTGAAATTTTAATTGGAAAGTGAATAAATATGCTACTGTTATCTGGCAAAAAAAAAAAAAAAAAGCTTTGATTGAGAGAAAGACCCCATTTCCAGCCTATTACCCACCTCGTTACCACTTCTGGACACACTCCAAATTTTTACTGCTTCTCGCACAAGGTGGGGGCCAGCTGGGTGAAGGATTCCAGCTGGGGACGTGCTAGTGTAGGGCAAGCAGCCCATCACCCAGGATCCTGTGGGTTTCTGCCTGCAACATCAGCCTACTGACTCCTTCTTAGCCTATCGTCAGCCGAGACCTCCATCCCATTCCCAGGAGTGGCTGTGGCTTATGCCATTTTTACATGAGATATTCTTAAATAAAAGCCTCTGTGACTCCATTAGGTTCCTGGTGGTGCAAACGGTTAAGTGCTGGACTACTAGACGAAAAGTTGGCAGTTTGAACCCACCCAGAGGCACCTTGGAAGACAAGCCTGCCTGCCAATTTGCTTCTGGAAGGTCACAGCCTTGAAAACCCTATAGAGCAGTTCTGCTCTGCATACATAAGGTGCCCTGGCCATGAGTGGAATCGACTCATATCAACTAACAACTACAACAGTAACTGCATACCCAAATACTGCATTTACATGCTAAACCTGAAATCTTTGGCTTTAATATCAGCAAGGCCTTGGCCTTCCTCTTGGCTACAAAGACCTGAAAACTTCTCGTAGTTTGTGGCTCCTTGCCCCTGCTTGTGCCCCGTTAACATTTCCAGGTTTCCACCTCCCTGCCTTTGTTCACAATGTCTCCCTATCTCTGCCTGTCATCCAAAACCTCATTGGCCTCATTGGCCTACTCCTCCAAACCCCCAGAGTCATCAGGTCGGTACCACTCCTCAATTTATTCCAAAAAACCGAAACCAAACCCATTGCCATCGCGTTGATTCTGACTCATAGTGACCCTATAGGAGAGAGTGAAACTGCCCCATAGGGTTTCCAAGGCCGTAAATCTTTACGGAAGCAGACTGCCACATCTTTCTCCCATTCAGTTCATTAGAGCCCCCTTGGATGTACTGACCCGCATTGGCATGATCTGCAGTTATCTTCAACTCCCCTAGAACTGCATCTAGCTCAAAGTACCCTGAGGGCAAGCCATAGGTCTTCTTCCCCTCAGGGTCCCCTCAAAGGCTCCATGGGATCTGATTTGAAGGCCCAGGAAACATGAGAGTTCTGACCAAGGCGAGGGGAAGATGACTTCCTGTCAGGTCATCCCTTCAGCCTCTGGGGTGAAAGGCAACAGAGGAGAAGAAAGGTGAATGGTAAATGTGACCTGGGCTTCCTTCCTGCTTCAGTTTACGCCCTTCCTGCTCCCCACCCATGGCTAGCCCTGAGGGTTACGTTCCTCTCCAGATGGGACTGGCTCAGTTTAAAGGCCCTCTGTGGCCATCACTCATGACCCACTCAACTGATACCCATTTCCTTGGAGGGTAACTTCCAGATTCCTAAGGCTGGCATAGAGGAGACCCTCAGTGGCAGATGAATGGATAAATGAATGGGTGGATAGATTGGGGTTGGATGGATACATGGATGATGGATGGATGGGTGGAATGGAGATGCTAGATGAATGATGGATCAGTGGAGGGGTGGACTGATGAGTGTTAGATGAATGGTGGAGGTTGTTGGGTGGATGTTGGATGGGTGGATGGATGGGATTCCATTTCAGATACAAGTTGGTGTGACTTCTGTCCACTTTTGGCTTTGTCTGCCCTTGGCTTCATCCACTTACTCTCTCCCTAACTCAGCCCCCTTGACCTTGCCCTTTCTGAGGTCATGACTCAGTTGGGTGCAAGCTCTGCCTCTTCCCCCACTGTATCTGTTGGTCCTTTTGGTCCCACCAGCCCAGGTTAGACACCCTTCCACCCAGCCAGGCCTCTTCTCTCTGTGCTCCCAATTCCAGTCCTCCCCAGTTTCTACCACTCATCACAGGTCCAGTCTGAGATTTCCAGCATCCTTCAAATACTTTCTTTCAGAAGTCCTGTCTGGCCCCCAACATCTCTGCACCTCCTCTGGTCTATCCTCCACTCAGCAGCCAGCAGAATCTTTCAGGCTTCCAGCTCACTTCCCTGCTCCATACCCTTCAGTGGCTTCCCACTGCCTTGGATAAAGACCCAAATCCCTAACACAGCCCATAAGGCCTGCACAATTTATGGGGTTCAGCTGTGCAGAGATGTGGAGGGTGATATGAGGGATGGAGGCAGGATGCACAAAGGTGTATTTGCCTATTTGACTGGGGAGCAGGGGTAGGAAGGAGCAGCAGCCTGTTCATGTGGCATGAGGTTTGAGCCACACACTGCTCTGAAGCACGCCGTTATACTTTTGGTGGGTCTCGTCTCTGCTCTGAAACATTCTCCTTTTTGAAATCATTGCAGCTTCCAAACAGTTCAATAATGAGGTCCTGAAGGCCCACAATGAGTACCGGCAGAAGCACGGTGTCCCCCCGCTGAAGCTCAGCAAGAAGCTCAACCAGGAGGCTCAGCAGTGAGTCCCCTCAGTGCCCCAGGGTGATCAGGACCTTTGCAGTGCTACTGCTGCAGTCACTGAGGGGCCCTGAGGTGGTGGGAGAGACATGGGTGTTGGGGTCAGATACAACCAATCTTGAGTAACCACTCTGTCACTTACCTAGGCAAGTCCCTATGTTTCTCTGAGCCTCAGTTTGCTCCTCTGTAAAATGGGACGTTGTGAAGCTCAAAAGAGATGCAGGTGTGATGCTCACGCCTATTTCCTCTGCAAACCCTCTGTGGGCTGGGAAGGATGCTTGGTCATACCAGTTTGGGGCTCATCCTTTGGGGGTTTCCCTGGGCTGTGCCTGCCCTGAGGAAGCACCATGGACTCTGGCAGGTATTCTGAGGCCCTGGCCAGCACAAGGATCCTCAAGCACAGCCCGGAGTCCAGTCGTGGCCAATGCGGGGAGAACCTGGCCTGGGCATCCTACGATCAGCCAGGTGGGTCACGTCCTCAGCTGCCCTCCCCTCTGCCTGAACTGGGCCTAAGACAAGCCTTCTTCAGAGCCCTCCTGGCCCCAGTGCCCTCTGAGATCTCAGAGGTCTGCCCTCCTCGCTGCTGTGGTGTAGCCACCGGCCCACAGGGGAAGAGGGAACCCAAAGTCCTTCTCTGTGTCTTCTCCCAGAGGCCAGCTCAGTTCACCACAAGGTCTGCGATGGTCAGCTCAGGGCCGGGTCTGTGCTTGAGTGCCAGGGACACAGAGATGGGGCAGACTGACCAGGGCCCCTTCTGGAAGTGCTCCCAGCCTGAGCAGTGGGGGTGGGGCCAGAAAACTGTTTTCTGTACAAAGTCTCAGCTGATTCTGTGGACACCAAAGCATCCCCAGCTAAAAAGGAATTTTACTTTCTTTACATTTTTCTAAAAAAAAATTTATAGTGCTGGTGTATTACTTTTATAATCCGAGAAAAGCCATGGAACTTTGTTCGTTTTGGAAAAAGAAGAATAAAAAGACAAACCCTCCATCTAAGTTCTCAGTCTGGAATGATAATCCCACCACACTGACCGAACATTCTTGAGCTTTCTGGCTCGGATGGCCCTGAAATGGCTTTTTAGGAAAAATGTTGGAGAGGGCTATGTCCCTCTGAAGCCTTCTCCAGCCCCCCAGTGAGGATGACTCACTCCCTCCTGCCTCACATTCCTGGGAGTTCCCAGGGGAGGCCCTGTCCAAGTCCTCTTGGTTTCCCCAGTGCAGCCTGACCAGGGCCTCCTGTGCAGCTTGGTCCCGTTCCCTGCAGGAGAGGTCTGCTCCCCAGGTGAGGAAACCTCCCCCTGAGGCCTCACCCTCAGCCTGCAAGCCTCTCCCCAGGCCCAGGCTATGTCCCTCGGGCCCAGGGCAACAGGGAGAGGGACGGGAAAGAGCCTTGAGTGGGCAGTCAGGAGATCCAGGTTCCATCCCAGACTTGAGCTGTGGAGCCTTGAGCAAATTGCTGCCCTCTCTTACCCCAGCTTCTCCATCTCTACAGAGAGGGCATTGGGTAGGTGGTCTCTACAGCAATGGTTCCCCACCCCAGCTGCATGCTGGAATCTTTGGAGAGCTTTATAAAACTACCAATGCCTGGGTCTCTTCTCCAGAGATACTGATACAGCTGATCTGTAGAAGGGCTCAGGCATAGCAGTTTTTAAAGGCTCCCCAGGCAAGGCTAATGCATAGCCACTGCTCTCTAAGGCCTTGATACTCAAAATGTTGCCCATGGACCAGCAAGCAGCATCAGCAACACTGGAGCTTGTTTGAAATGCAGAATGTGGGTCCCACTCTAGACCTACTGCAATCATAATCTGCATTTTAACAAGACCCCAGGTGATTCATACACACATTAAAGTTTGAGACTTACTGCTCTGAGGTTGTAGGCTCCTAGCTCTGGCCCTGCCATCAGATGCTCCTAGGGAATTGCTGTGAGTTTTCTCATATCATCACCTGCTGGGCAATAGATGCTTCAGGTGAAGAACTCCCTGCTGGCAGCAGGGACCTTGGCCTGCCAGCCCAGTTGGCTTTACTCCTGTGCATATTTCAGGAGCCAGACATGGGGATGAGAGCAGAGTCTTTCAGAAAATCAGAGCATCATTAGAAGGCCCTTGCAGTACATTCGTTCAACCCTTTTGTACTGATGTGCAGAAAAGGGAAGGGCTTGGCCCAGGATTGCACAGCAGGTCAGTGACAGGGCTGGGACACAGATGCAGCCTCCTGAGCCCAGGCCAGGGCTTTGCCAGTCAATCCCCAACAAGGCCCTCACTTCTGCCTGTACATGCTCATGGGCATCCCTGGGAGTTTGCTACAGACATTCAAGATGTTTCAGCCCATTGGTGCTTTATCAGACATCTAATTGTGGGATGGGTGGTTAGGGGTGAATGGGAGGAGATGGACAGAATAGGCAGCTGGGTTGATTTTGCTGCAGAGTTTTAGAACAGTTTCTTCTCCATACAGGAAAGGAGGTGGTTGATAGATGGTACAGTGAAATCAAGAACTACAACTTCCAGCAGCCAGGCTTTACCTCAGGGACAGGTGAGTGCCAGGGTCCCAACCAGTGGTCTGGGCCTGTGCAGGGTTGCAGGTTGGGTGTCTGGCTGTGGAGAGGAACTAATCCTCTGAAAATCCACCATTTATGTCCTCTCCTACCTCTTCCCTATTTCTCTTTTGACTTTACTCAAAAGGCAAAGGTGTGCATTTCTCTGGCTAGGAGGCACCCGGAGAACTGGAAAGGGGCTTCTCTGCCTACCCCATTTCCACTCCAGCCCTATCCCACCCATGGGCAGAGCCACTTGTGGCCTCCTCCTCCCCAGGGTTTCCTCAGAAGCAGGAAGTGACAAGTTCTCAGAGCCAGTCAGCATTTCCTGTGGTTTGCTACTCACTCTTTCGGGCAGGGGCTCTTGCAAACCTGTGTGGGTAGGACTATGGAGCAGAGGTAGAAGCATCTGCTGAGGCATTCTCCTCTCAGTTAACTTCTGCAGGTCTCCTGGCCAGAGACATGGAGCTGCTATCAGGGCCTAAGTGAGAGCTGATGATTCTGTGGCAATTATATTTGGGAGGTGGGGAGGGGGCAGTAATAGCCTCCACCAGTGACTAAAGGTGTGCAGGCAGAACCTTGTCTTCTTTTAATAAAGATGAGTGTCCATGAAGCATTTTATTTTGTCACTTCTGGACTTGCTTTTCCCATGAGCAAGATTAATGTGCAACCACACGTTGCAGATCAAGTTATTATCGTTGCTCTTGTGTGCACACACTTGATAGTTCGTTATAAAGTGCTTCCACATCCACTGCCATTAACGTTTCCCAACACCATTCGAAGGTAGGGCTATAGTCTCCCTGTTTTGCAGAGGAGGAAATTGAGGCCCAGAGTGGGGAAGAGTCTTCTCTTATGCCTTCTGCCCACCTACCCCTTGTCTGATGCTTTTTCCATGGCCTCTGTTCCAAGGCAGGAGCCTCTCTGGGTACTTCACAAGTACCAGAGCTGGGAATGGAACTCAGCTTTCCATGATCACTCACTGCCATCCCACCTATCGCTCCACATATCCCACCCCTAAAAGAGGAAAACCCCAGAGCAACTAGCCTCTGTGCCATCCCAGGTGCCAGTGGGCAATGCTTGGGACAGACAAAGCCTGATCCTAAGACAAGGGTACAACTTTGAGTGGTGTTCTAATTGGGGCTTGCAAGACCCTTAAAGACCCTTGGGCCTATCTTCCATGCCTCAGCCTCCCCAGAGCTTTCTCCCCAGCTGATCCTTGCTGCGTGAACTATTGAGTCTGTGCTGTAGGTGAAAGGGCCTTTGGAATATCCCATAATCTATCCCCCCGGGTCAGGATCCTTTGATAAAGGCACAGTCAGTTGAGTCCTGTACTATGAGCTAAGTGGAGAGAAATTATTTCTTAGAACTACTTTCTTACATTCTATTTAATGACTAGGTTTATTTGTTTATTTCTGAATAAGTGATACTTTTACATGATGTGAAATTCAAAAGCTTTGTTACAAAAGGCTATAGAAGGTGAAAGGTTTCCCTTCCATCCCTGTCTTCAGCACCTTCCCTCTTCAAAGGAAACCAGTGTTACCAGTTTCTTGTATCATTCTAGAAGTATTCTACGCGTACATCAGCATATGTGTATATATGTTCTCTTTTTCCCCTTTTTACACTCTGGTGTCAGCCTATATGCTCTGTTTTGCACTTGCTTTCTTCACTCAACAGATTGTCAAAGATTGTTCCGTATCAATACAAAAGGAGTGTTCCTTTTCTTACCATTGCACATTATTCCCTTGCAAGGATATACTGTAACGTATTTAATATTTTTTCAAGGTATATTCTAGGAAGTTTGTGTCTATAGCAGGGAAGAGGATGTGATCCCTTTAGGGGGAAAAAGTCTTTGTTAGTAGATGAGAGTTAGAAACCAGTGTGTATCTGACGGTTGCTAAGGAAGTTGTGTCCTTTAATTAATCTCTGAATACCCATAACTTAGTTATCTCTGTGGAGACAGAAAACTCCCCAGTAAGAGGAAAGATTACTTAGTTTCTTCTGTTTGGAAAAGGCTGCCACAAGCATTTGTGCCGCTGATGTGCACTTTGTGTCCATAATTATTTTCTTGGCAACCAGTGGATGAATGGCAGCTTCTTCCTTGTCTGGGAAACAGAGAGTGGGTGGGTCAATGGTCAAAGCATGTGATCTCCTGAGAAAGAAGACTTGTATGAGCAAGGGCTTGCGCCTTAGTGAAAAGACAGCCTATACAAGTAGTGACACCTGGTGAAGCTGCTGAAAGCCTGGAGCTGTGACTCAAAAGTATAAGGACCAAGGGTGAATTGGCAAAAAGTGTTTCTCCTCTATTCTGCGGTGCACCTTGGAGTTTATTAAGCAGTGGTTAATACAAGTTTAAAAATAAGTGGTCAAAGGGGTGGGAGGGGAAGGGGGCGTTATTGCTTAGGGGAGCACTGAGCTTCTGTTTAAGGGTGATGGATAAATTTGGAAATGGACAGTGGTGGTGGTTGCACAATATGATGAACATACCTAATGTCACTGAATTGTACCTATAAAAAATATTGAAGTGGCAAATGTTTTGTTATATATATATTTACCACAATAATAAAAAAAAGAAAAGTGGTCACTTATGCTCATCAAACGACTTCACCAAAAGAGTAAAAAGAGAATCTACAGACTGGGCAAAAATTTTTGGCTACAACATATCTGACAAGGGTCTAATCTCTAAAAATCTATGACTACTTCAATACCTCAACAACAAAAAGACAACTCAATTAAAAAATGGGCAAAGGATATGAACAGACACTTCACCAAAGAAGATATTTAGGCGGCTAACAGACACATGAGGAAATGTTCACGATCATAGCCATTAGAGAAATGCAAATCAAAACTACAATGAGACACCATGTCACCCCAACATTACTGGCACTAATAAAAAAAACAGAAAATAACAAACGCTGGAGAGGTTGTGGGGAGATTGGAACTCTTATGCACTGCTGGTGGGAATGTAAAAATGGTACAACCACTATAGAAAATGATACAGCACCTCCTTAAAAAGCTACAAATAGAAATATCATATGATCCAGCAATCCCACTCCTAGCAATATATCCTAGAGAAATAAGAGCTGTCACACAAATAGACATATGCATGCCCATGATCATTGCAGCATTATTCACAACAGCAAAAAGACTGAAACAACCTAAGTGCTCATCAACAGATGAATGGATAAACAAATTATGGTACATACACACAATGGAATACTATGCAACAATAAAGAACAATGATGAATCCGGGAAACATCTCACAACATGGATGCATCTCGAAGGCATTGTGCTGAGTGAAATAAATCAGTCACAAAAGGGCAAATATTGTATGAGACCATTACAAAAACCCAAGAAAAGGTTTACACACAGAAAAAAACAATCTTTAATGGTTATGAGGAAGGGGAGGGGTGAGGAGGGGAAATCACTGACTAGGTAGTAGACAAGAGTTAACTTTGGTGAAGGGAAAGACAACACACAATATAAGGAAAGTCAGTACAACTTGTCTAAGGCAAAGTCATAGAAGCTTCCTAGACACATCTTAACACCTTGAGGGACTGAACTACTGGGGCTGAGGGATGGGAACCACGGTCTTGAGGGACATCTAGATCAATTGGCATAACATGGTTCATAAAGAAAATGTTCTACATCCTACTTTGGTGAGTAGTGTCTGGGGTCTTAAAAGCTTGCGAGAGGCCATTTAAGATACAGCTGTTGGTCCTGGCACATTTGGAGCAAAGGAGAATGAAGAAAACCAAAGACACAAGGAAAATATTAGTCCAAAGGACTAATGGACCACATGAACCATAGCCTCCACTAGCCTGAGCCCAAAAGAACTAGATGGTATCTGGCTACCATCACCGACTGTTCTGACAGGGATCATAATAGAGGGTCCCTGGCAGAAAAATGTAGAACAAAAATTAAATTCACAACAGAAGACCAGACTTACTGGTCTGATGGTGACTGGAGGAACCCCTGAAACTATAGCCCCCAGACACCCTACTAACTCAGAACTGAAGCTACTCCTGAATTCCACCTTTTAGCCAAAGATTAGACAGGCCTATAAAACAAACAATAACACACGTGAAGAACGTGCTTCTTAGTTCAATCAAGTATACGAGACCAAATGGGCAACACCTGCCCAAAAACAAAGATGAGAAGGCAGAAAGGGACAGGAAAACTAGATGAATGGACACAGAACCCAGGATGGAAAGAGAAAGAAAGGGGGAGAGTGCTGACACATTGCAGGGACTGCAACTAATGTCACAGAACAATTTGTGTATAAAATTTTTCAATAAAAAAGTGGTAAAGATGCATAATTGCACTTAGGGTTTGTTTTCCTTTAATTCTTGCTTCAGATGTATTACATCGACTATGATATTAACTGTATTGATTCATGTTTATGTTTTATTGTCATAAGTAACCCCAAATCCTTTGTGGATGTAGACACATAAATAAATTATACCCAATTTTAAAAATTATAAAAAAGGAGTTCAACTGTAAAGGAAAAAATTTAATCAATGAACATTTATCCAGTTCCTACCATACCTAAGATGCAATGGAGACAACCAAGTTGTCTCTTCCCTAAAGAATTAAAGGAGTGGGGATATCATCTTCTTTCTCTCTTAACCTTGTATGGGAAGCTTAGCTACTCCTATCACAGTTTTCCTCCTTCCTCCCTCTTCCTCTTTTCATCAAATACTTTTGAACATCTACTATGTTCCAATTCCATTGCTAAATACTAGGGATATGTGGTCGACAAGAGTAATACCTGCCCTCAGAGAGCTTGCCATAATTGCAAGACAAGTATTTAGGAGGGAACATAATCTCTTGAGAGTTGCTTTGGCAAATGAGTACCATCCTGTGAGATGGAAGTAAATATGCCATTGACTACGTCAGCTGTCAGAGGATCTGTGTGGGTCCTAAACAGTAAAGATGGGAGGGATAAACTCTCGACCTCTTCTCCCAAAAGATGAAAAGAATTTATGATCATTGAGCAGAGTACGTTATAGCATTGACTCTCTGATCTCAAAGAGTGAGGAGACCTATAAGCTAAGCTAAGAACCAGTGAGTGGGAGGTAGGCAGCCTGAGCAGTGGGGAACTGTTACTACAAAGCTTCAAGAAGCCATGGAAATGTCTGGAGGATGGGGCAATAGTTTGAGAAGGAATTGGGTTGTTTCACTCAGAGCAGGGGGAATCGAAGGAGGCAGGAACCTGTCAAGGTCTGAAAGTGCTCAAAACACAGAAGGCCTGCACTGTCAGTAAGGGCAGAACCTGAGTCCAAGATGGTTCTTCCATACACCTTTCATTCACTCATTCATTCCATTTATTTTACACCTTTCATATGTCAGGCTCTGCCAAGATACTAGGTGTACTTTAGTGAGTAAAACAACTTGGTCTCTGCCCATGTGGAGCTCATAGCCTAGTGAAGGAGCCACACAATAGTCAAGTAACCAAATAGATCACTGCAAACTGTAAGAATGCCATGAAGAGGGAAGGGAAGAAAACAAGAGTTGGGTAAGAATTTCATGGCGGAAGTATTCAGGAAGTAAAAGGGTGATTGCAAAAGGCTTCTCTGAACAAGTGACATTTAGGCTGAGACCTAAGATGTTGGTCAGCAAGAGTATTTCACACAGCAGCTAGTGTGTGCAAGGGCCCTATGGTGGGAAATAACCTGATGTGTTTAAGGAATGGAAAGGAGACCACTGGGCCAAAGCATTCACAGAAGATGAGGAAAAGGCATGAGAGCAAAGTGAAGAGGTCAGAGGTCAGCAGGGCAAGACTGATCCTTATAAGCTGAGGATGGAATCTAGATTTCGTTCTAGATGCATTAGAAGCTGTAGAAGGATTTTTAAGCAAGGAAGTAAACAGCTCTGACCTAAGTCTCAAAAAGATCACTCTGCTACTTAATTGGAGAACAAATTATTAGAGGCAAAGGTGGATACAGAGTAATCAATCAGGCAGCTGTTGCAATGGTTCAAGTGAGAAATGTTTGCTGTCGGGACCAAGGTTTTGGGAGTGAATTAGAGATGAGTGGATGGACTTGAGATGTATTTTTGGAGTTAGACTCCTCAGGATTTGATGATGTATTGTTGTGGGAAAGATGAGGAAGAGGAGGAATGCAGACAACCCCTAGGATTGTGTGAATAGAGGTACTGTTGATGGAAATGGGTTAGAAGAGGAATAAAACTGGGGGGGACCAAAATCAAGAGTGAGGTTTGACTGGATTAAATTTGAGATGCCTCTCTTTTAAAAACTATCTATATGGGATCAAATTGACAACAGCAACTCAGAAGATTGGATAGGAACCTTAGGGGGCAGTGAATCTGTGTTAATAGCAGAGGAACAACTAAGAAAAGGAGGGTGAGAATGGTTGCACAACTTGAAGAATGTAATCAGTGTCACTACATGGTACATGTGGAAACTGTTGGTGTATATTTTGCTGTGTATATTCTCAACAACAGCAATGAAATAAAATTAAAAATGTTTCCCATTCATTTAAAAAAAAAAATTGAGATGCCAGTGAGTCATCCAAATGGAAATGTCTAGTAAGTCATTTTGTCTGGAAGAGAAGAGAGGTTTGAGCTGGAAAACTAAATTTGAGCCAGGAAAAGGTGAAATCGCCTAATGAGAGTATAGAGAGAAAAGAGAGCTCAGGATTGAGTCTGGGAAATGCAGGTCCTCCACCATTACAAGTGAGGTATAAGAGAAGGAGGAAGCAGTGAGAGGGAGGGATGCCAAGAGCTTGTGGCTTCATGGAAACCAAAAGAGGAGAGTGCTTTGCAAAGGGAGGAGTCAACTGTGTAAATGTTCCTGGGATGTCAAATAAGATGAGGACAAAAAGTCACCATTGGAGAGTAACATGGAGATTATTGGTCACCTTGAAGAGTACAGTTTGGAGGGAGGGTTGGAGGCAGATGCCAGGTTGGGAGGCATTCTAATTGTTGGGGTCACTGGGCTCTGTCATGATCTCTGGGACATCATGAAGCCTTGGACATTGGAAAGTTGTGAGATGAGTAAAGTCTGTGTGGCCTTTGTGAGTGAGGTCTGGTTGAGTGGGTCTGATGCTTAGGGAAACCAGGCAGTTGGTGTGTTTTTCTCTCCTTCCTCTGGCATCTGTGAAATGGAACTTCCCTGAACCTGGCAAGATGGTGCAGGGGTTCAAGAATCCCTTGCAACATCCTCCTTAAGGCTCTGCTGACTAATCTGTTTCTCTCTCCCTCTGCCTCTTTACCTATAGGACACTTCACAGCCATGGTGTGGAAGAATACGAAGAAGATGGGAGTAGGGAAGGCATCTGCAAGTGATGGGTCCTCATTTGTGGTGGCCAGATACTTCCCTGCAGGGAATGTTGTCAACCAAGGTTTCTTCGAGGAAAATGTCCTGCCTCCAAAGAAGTAATCTGTGAAATCTAATGGGAAGGTGGCAAACTTAAGAACATGGATGTGAAGTGCCTAGAACAACAAAAACTCAGTTGTGTGTCTGTCCCTGTGAATGTATGTGCTTATGTGTGTGATGCGCGTGAATGTCTCTTGTACACACACTTGGATATACAGTTCTGCATGAACTCATTCTTATCAAAGGAATGAGCATATGAAGCATTTATCGCGATGGTTACCTAGACTACAATGATTTGGACTTTAGGGGGAAAACCAATTTTTAAATTTTTTTTGTTATTTTTTTAAGCAAACATCTTTTGTACCTTTCTTACTTATAACATCCATCCCTCGACTTTTTGTGTTCCAAATGTTTATGATACTAAGAAGTGAAGTTGATTTTATGTGATTTTCATGCAGTGTAATCTACTTTTGGTAGAAATTGAAGAACATTAAACTCTCATTTAAATGTGTCATAAAACACAACTTTAGACATGTAGATATGAAGCAGCTTCCATCAGAAACATGGGCGGTAGGGGCTCCATTTTACAGAATTGCTGTGATTTCTCAGTTGTAAGACATGATGTCATCCTTCATGCCGCTTGAAATTCTCCAATGGGACTGCCAAAGAACAAATGGAGAAAAAAGCAGCACTTCCTTGCATTTTTCTACCTTTAAGTAGCTAAGTACTACTACCACTGCCATCCCTTGCCGCTCCCCTCCCCTGCACACACACCTTTTCTCTTAAAATCCTCTGGCATTTCAGAAGTCAATATGCTACCCCTGGTTTCTGGGAAGCTGGGCAAGGCCTGAAGCTCACCCCTCCCCCACCTGTTAGGTGGACCAGGGCCTGCTCTGGAGAGAGAGCCCCATCCCCACTGCCTGGGCTCTTGGCCAAGCAGCCTTGGATGGATGAAGTCAGTGAGTGTGGGGTGAGGGTGAGCTCAGTCAGGGCCTCTAGAGGAAGCCCTTGGCCTCCCCCCTCCCCCCTCACACAGGGGGAGGGAGCCCAGGCCTGTTCCTGGCAGCTGTGGCTGCAGCTGTGCTTCTGCTGCCTCCAGGAATGTGTGCTGGGCCCAAATGTTCCAGAGGGATGTCCCAAGCAGGGAGCCTAGAGACGCTAATTTGACACTGTGTTTTGCCTCAAACTACACGAAGTTCTCTTGAATAGCAATTTCATATGGTCCATATGGGAGGGACCAACCCAGATGCAAAGCTGAGTGTCCCTGAAATCATGGCATCTCCATCTGGTGAGACAGCAGGGGTGGTAGTGAGGGGGTTGCCTGCTTAAAGATGGGAGTCTGAGCAGACCAGCCTTTAAAACACACTTCCTGAAGGTCTTCTTTGCACTCTGAACAGTCTCATGCTATGCCCTTCATTTCATCCAGGGATACTGACTAATAAAACAATAAAATCTTTTTCTTTTATGTAATATCTTCCTCCAACGTGATTCATACCCGATTCTCAATTGGTGACTGAGGCAATCCATGACTGCGTTCCTGTCTTGAGTAACTCAAGCCCCTGAACGCCTCCATTCCCTCCCCAGTGAACTGTGCTGCTTGGGTGGCCATGTTGTGAACCATGCGACTCACTGCCTAAGGGCTTTTTGGATTAGAGTGGGCACCTGATCCAAGGGCAGCCAATCCCTAGACTGGCCATGAACATCAGGAATTTGAGCTAGGAAGTGTGGAGAGAATTTACCAGTTTGCAGTGGAATTGAAAAAATAAGGATGCCATGAGTTCAAATTAGGCCATGGCAAACCAAAGCTATATGCAAGCCAAGTTACAAGTGGAAAACATAAGTGGGAAAGCTGGTTACAAAAGAGGTGAAGATACTGAGAGAGATTGTTCTGAGCTTTCAGATAGTTGCAGGCCAAATCGGTGTATCTTTAAAATAAACCCCTCATTTTCTTTTGGCCTTTCCAAAAAATTGACATATCAACTGATGGTCCCCTGAAAGTCAGAATATTAGGGTCCCCTCCCCTAGGGCGTCTCCCTGAACACAGCATTGTTCTCTAGTTGTCTCTCATAGCTAACTCACAGTTCCCTAGGGATGGTCAGCTTATTTGCCTCAGGAATGCTGAGTTGGGCAGGAAGCTGAAGGTGCGTGGGGCGAAGAGACTTGGTTTTAGGGCCTTAACCTGAGGTCCTTTTCTAGCCACACCTGGTCAAACGGCTACTAGCAACTCAATGGCCAATCAGTGGGCTTCCTGGTTGCTCCTAGAGACAGCCCCCCCACACACACACACACCACACATTACCAGGTGGAGGAAGCCAGCATGCAGCCAGCTTCTTTAGACCAGTCTGTTTCCTCAGTTGGCTGGAAAAAGGGGAAAGCTGGGCCAGGGGAGCTTTCCAGGTCTGGAGAGGAGCCAGACAGTGAAGCTGGCTGGGCAGGTGGGCACTAATCTCACTTTAATGGATTTCCCGAAGACAGCAACCCCCACAAGTCCAATAAGAACAGGGGAAAAACCAGATTCCCCATTCTCTTTTGTAGCCAGAGGGCAGAGAAGGCAGTCAGGAACCCGGGGTCCAAGCATGAGCTCTATGAACTCTTGAGTTCAGAAGTCCTTCCCTCTCTGGTCTCAATTTGCCCACCTGTACAAGGTCTAGAGTTAGATCAGATCCTCTCCAGACTCCATGATACTTGTTAGGGCCAACTTTCTTACTGGCTGGTAGGCTGCTCTCAGATGTGAAGTAGAAGGAGCATAAAGGAGGATGGCCACTTCCTCCACGGAACTATCCCCAAGGCTGAAGGGTGTGGGGGCAAAGGAATGTTGAGAAGCAGCAGGGCCTGATGCACCCATGTCTGGTCCTGGAGGTGAGGGCTGTCTCCCTCTCACAAGGCTGCCAACGGGAGTGAGAAGGGGTCTCTGTCATCAGGACCAAGAAGCCCCATTTGCCCACGTTGCTGCTGCTTCCCACAAGGTCAGGGCTGGAGGAGCATTTCAAACCAAATGGAACTCCTTGCTGTTGAGTTGATTCCAACTCTTAGAGACTCTATAGTAAAACTGCCCCATAGGGTTTCCAAAGAGTGGCTGGCCAATCTGAACTGCTGATCTTTTGGTTAGCAGCAGCAGCTCTTAACCACTGTGCTACCAGGGCTGTGGTAGAGCTCCGCTATTCTCACAGGGAGAGGACAGACCAGACCTGGCGGGACTTACCTAAGCCACACAGCTAGTCCGTGGCAGAGGGGGTAATGAAGTCTAAGCCTTCTTCCAAGGGCGACAACAAGTTCTTAGACTCATGCAGATCCAGATATCGCAAGGGACTAAGGCTCTGTATGGAACGCAGGCATCAAGGTAACGGAATTCAGTATTAAAAAAATTAATAATTTTCAAAGTACCAAATCCCAAAATAAAGAAGAAAACTATGCCTGAAAGGAGTGAACGAACGAAGGAAGGAGACAATGAATAAGGGAATGAGAACATGACTAACGAGGGAGGGAAAGAGCTGGAGAGGCTCCGGTAAAAATGTGCGCTTTCATGGGAGGGACGCTAAGGCCCGAGGATCTGGAGTGGGGCTTGGGGCTTAGGTTGGTGGAGATCAGGGGCGTGGCGTGACCCCAAGTCCTTCCAGTCCCATCCAGCCACTGCCACTGCCGACAGGGCCGGGATGTCCTGAGAATCTTCCTGCGAGCCCCCAAGGCTGGCCCCAGGTGGGGCCTCTGGGCTCTCTGCTTCTTCGTAGGAGGCCAGCCCCAGGCCCCTCCCCATCCGTGGGGCGCTCCGGCTGTCCCCATCCCTCTTCTGGCACAGGAAGCAGCCGCACAGATGCACCACTAGAGCTCTGGAGCCCAACGCCGGCCAGGAAGCGGGTGTGCCGGCGTTGAGTCAGAGCTGGCGGAGTCTGCGAACATCCCACCCACGCGGCCCCGAGGGATCAGGGCCCTGCCAAATTGATGCCCGGGTCTGAGATGGCTCCTCTCTGGACGACAAGGAAGAAATCCCAGCTCAATCGCCTCTTCGCAGAGTGAACCCAGGCGGGCGCGCACCCGCCTCCGGGGCTCAGTATCGCCATCTATCAAGCGGGGAGAGGGAGCTTCTGATGATCTTAGGCCCTAATCCTCACATTGGATTTGCCACCGCCCCCTCTGCACGGTGGGCCTGCAGTCCGTGGGAGCAGTGGCGAACTAGGAAGCACCGCTGCATTTTTTCTTCTTGAAACTGGGCTAGGGCCTTGTTGAGTGAGGGAGCGAGGGGTGGTGCGCTTCTTTGGTTTAGCGCCCAGCCCATCCTTGCTTCCTCCTAGGCTGGAGCTGACCTACCAGCCCCATCCTGTGGCCAAAGGCGGCTCAGGAAGGCCGCCAGAGTGGATTTCACAGACTCGCCAGCGATGAAACATGAACAACAGTGACAAGTATTTATGGAGGGAGCAACAAAGAACACCAGGGCTGGAAGAATGGAAACTACTGACATTTTTCGAACGTTTAATGTGAGCCAAGCACTGTGCTTACCACTTTCTAGTCATTTCCTCATTTAAACTCTTAATAAATAAACTATGTCTGGAAGGTGTGAAAGAATGAGGGAAGGAGACAATGAATAAGAGAATGAGAACATGACTGTGGGAGACAAAGTGTGAAGCAGATGCTATTATTATTCCCATCTCACAGATGGAGAAACTGAGGCTTAGAGTCTGACTAGATTGTCCAAGTCCACGTTTGACGGAAAGCGTTTAGTAATCCCAGCCCCCAACATTTTACAACTACAGACTTGGAAATGTGAACCTGTTTGCAGTGAATCTGAAAGTCAGAGCTTTAGAGGCCCTCCCAGCCTCAGCACGCAGCTAACTCCTGTATCCCTGCGCCAGGAAGTGGCAGTCACGTCTCCATCTATTTTAAAGAAAGAAATGATGCCCATGGTCACAAAGGTCAGAAGCCAAAGGACACCGATTTTCTTCTCTGATGCCCAGGATGCTTGACAGAAAAGGGTACCTGGAGGTCCCAGGATTAGAGACTAGGGAAAGCTGAATAGTTAACTTCCTAGACAGGTGGAAAGAGTACTAAGTTACTTCCAACTGGCTGTGTGATCTTAAGCAAGTTCCTTCTCTTCTCTGCACCTGAGTTTTCCTCCTATAAAATGGGAGTATTTTTCTAGATAATCTGAAAACCTTTTCCTTTCGCCTAACCATCCCGTACTTCCCCCCAAACCCCATCCACCCACCTCATCCAAACTAGCTCTGATATTCCAGAAGTCGTCTGAAACTCAAGTTTTGAAAATCCATGGTGGGAGTTGCAGACATCCCTGAATTTCCTCCTGAGCTCTGGGCCCTGGGCTGGTAACTAGCCAAGCCTTGTCATAGGGGAGAAAGGCCCCTGGGCCTCTGAGAAAGGCCTCGGTGGGGCCTGCATTGTGATGACCTCATCCACTCTATGACATCATCCTCCTTCTCACCCCCACTCCTCCCTGGTCAACTGCTCTGCAAATAACCATCAATCTGAATCCCAAAGGCCTGAGAAAGTCTGTTCTCCAGT